TTTTTTTTTGTATCAATGGGGGTCCATAATCAAGGAGCTGTTTTAGGTTTTGATCACAGATTGATATTAACAATACAATTTAAAATATATTTTACACAACCTGATTTAGCATAACAATTTATAAAAACAAAGTCAAATGCACAAAATATGAATACATTTAATAAAAAAATGAAGAATACTTACATTGTGCCACCAAGTAGTTTTGAATTTAATGTAATAATAACAGAACCTATCCAAATAATGACAAAAACCTCAGCAAATTCAGGACCTCCATCACCAACTTGTATAGAATCTGGTGACGCTTGTAGAACCCTGAAATAATAATAATTATAACTCAATAATAGTAAGTAAAAATAGTAAAAACTAATAAACTTACATAGCCATGAATGTGCAAAGCATCAAAGGGCCCCACAAGTCCCCTAAAAAATATAAATTATATTATAAAATACGAATWTGGAATTGAACGACATGGCCATAAACATAAGAAAATACAAAACAGAATAAACTCAGCTATCAGCTAACAAGTGCTTCTTCGGATTAAAGACAATATTGAAATCTAAACTAGTTCCGATCAGATCTAAACTAACTTAATTTATTTTTTTTTTTCGTATGGCGCTATGTCCGGGAGTAGGCCCGAAGGCCTAGATCGGATGCCTGTTTGGCAGAATTTCTATTGGGGCACCCGTAGGTTTCTGCCATGTCCMGGAGTGGGGGATKGCGACACTTGTTCTACGGACACCATGACTAGCCCAGAGAAAAATGCCGCCCGAAGGTCGAGGATCAAACCCGGTCCGGCTGAGCCACAGCCGAMGCGTTGGACAACTYGGCCACCTCGTCCCCCACTAACTTAATACAAAGTAATGATGCAACCGATAGCGTTATATAAGTGTGAAATGAGGGAAACAACTAAAATAGACAAGCAGAACCTAGCATGATTTGAGAGAAAGGTGTCACAACAAATTTTTGGCCTTAGAAAAAACCAAAACATGGAAAAATATGAGCGAAGAAAGAACGAAGAGGTAATAAGTATGTAAGAGGATTTAGACATAATAGCTAGTAGCTACAAAAGTAGAAGAATAAGCTGGGCAGGGCATGTATTTAAAGGTCTTGAACAGACAATCGGTCAAGTCTCYAGCTGGAAACTGAAGAGACCCAAAATACTGCTTGGCCATCAAAGACAAAGATAATAAACAGGATCTATAAAAACCTGGATATGCAGGAAATCGTGGACAGTGAAAAGCAAGCCACGGATAGAGACAGATGTAGGGAAGTGATAGTTGCGACCACAAACCTGAATGGTCTATATTGAGCCAGAAAAAATAAAATGATAAAAAACGAAAACCACTAATTAAGACTTACATTCTTTAAGAAGTGTATTTTTTTCTTTTAAGTACAAAACGTGCTTAAATTTCATTCCAACTGCTTTTAAGTCTCTCATCTAAAGTTAATAAATGCTTATTATTAAACACAAATAGAAAATGTATACAAAAAATATCATAATTACAATAGTAGTTTTGATAGGTTCATCTAATGTATTGAATCCAGGGTCACCAATATTTTGCATTAATGATCCAGATACAGTCATCCGTCCTTCTACATTATTCATTGGCCGGTCATCAATATACTTAAATAAAAAAAACAAGTACAGTAGATTAAAGGGATACTAGGTGAAATAGATTWAAAAAAGAAGTAATTTTAGTCAAAAACTAAAAGGTATCAAGTAGATATTTAATTTTTGTAAACAATAATGTAGTCGTTAACTGAGATTTCGTGTACATTTTTAAATTGTATAACATATGCTAATTAAATTAATTATTTTTAAAGGTATTCATACCTACTTAGTTATAAGAACATTTTATTAAATTATACCTAGGTAATAGCCAAAAGGTATATTAAATAAACTTCTGTAATATATTTTACAATAGTATTCAATTATTAGTAATAAGCTCTCCTCCAGTGACATCAAATGAAAGATTTTTTCTTCAGACTTCAATGGGTGATGAATAATTAAACAATTTAATGATCATAGTGGTAAAAAAAGAGAATGCTAACAAATTAAATTTAGATGAAACAGTATATATACAGTGGCGTCA